TCGAGATGAGTAATATTTTAATACAACATTTTATAACATCAAAATTAGTACCAAAAAAATCCACAATAACTGAATTATCAAAAATGTTAGTGAAAGACAAGATCCAGTCCTACATTTGCCTCACCCTAATGCTAGCCTTAGTGAACCCAAATGTTATAGAAGGGATATTTTAGCTTTCAGGATTTCTCTACATGAAGTAAGTATGTTTTCAGGGCAGAATGAGTGGCATGAGTGTAGGTGCATGTTAATTATCTAAGCTTCTACTACAACTTGATCAAAAAAATTTCTTTGTGTTGCATGTCAAAAGTATAGTTGTTATGTTTCTGAGAGTGATAACAACAGTGGGTAAATTTTGTTGAGTGCTTACTATGGGATACTCACCCTGCTAGGCACTTTCCATATATTATTTCTTTTAGTACTCACAGTCACCCTGTGAAGTAAGCACTGGTATTAACCCCAAGAGGAGATTGAGGGTCATAGAGTAAGTAATTTGCTTGAGGTCATTCAGCTAATACTGTAGCCAGCCCATGCTGAAGCTGTAACTTTAGTACCACCGGGTTTGAGAAACCCCTCATTCTAGATCTGCATCTTTTATTTTTTTCTTATTTTTATTCTGTCCGCCTAGAAAGATGATCATAGGCTTGCATCTTTTTAATCCAAGACTTAAATCTAGGTCCATATAGTTTACAATACGCCTTAGCCATTCAGGATGGTTTTGTGGGGTTTGGGTGATGATCTACCACAAGACAACCTTACAACAGAACTGCACTGCTAAGAGCTACTCATGTGTTTTTTTAAGACTTGGGCATGCAAATCCAGAAATATACCGATGGGAATCATTTCTTCAGCACACGGATTTCCCTGCTCTGCTTTCTCCCTTGTATTTCTGGATCTTTTAGGTTGAGAGAGAGAGAGAGAGAGAAAATAAGGGAGAAGTGATGATGATGATGATGATGATGATGATGATGATGATGATGATGGTGGTGGTGGTGGTGGTGATTATGGTGGTGCTAGATAACATTTCCTGTGCCCTTATTATGAGCCAAGTGTTGCTGTGGATTGCTTTGCTAGCATTATTCACTTACTCATCAGAAAAAGCCCACCAAAGACAGATGAATCTCCATTTTCATCTGGAAACTGAGTCTCTGACAGGGGAAGTAACTTGCCCAAGATCATCAACCCAGGTGAGCGTTAGGGTCTGCTCTCCTAACCGCTACATGGTAGAAAGAAAGAAGAATGGAATGGCGAATTTGTAGAGAAACCTTCCCACTTCTTTTAAATAGAGCCATCACATCCGGCTGCAGCTACCAGAGAAGTTTCCAACTTTCCAAGGGCCCCGTCATCCTCCACGCCATGGCTGTGATAGGCATCCTCCTGGGGTTCCAAGTTCAAAACCTTCACGGAATTATCACCAAAGGACGTATTTTTAAAGGAGCCCAGGCTACCAAGTTTCTACTTCTTTGCTGCTTCTCTTAGGATTGAAATAACCTTATTGACGGAGTTTCAAATTAACATACCTAAATTAAGTAGAAGCTGCAAAGGAGTTGTGATATTCTACTTCAATACTTCGTACGCGTCGTCAGCTCACAATTCTTATTTCTGCGGATTCAGAATACATTTCTCCCCCCAAAAAAGAAATTTAGTGCCCAGGTGTTAGGAGAGATCTGGAAAAGGCATATCTGAAACGAAAGACAAAACAAAATGGGGAGAACTTAAAATGTTTTATTAATTTCCTCTTTTGAAGAATCATAACAAATCTGCTCTGTTCGCATCGATCTCAAATGAAGAAAACCTGATTAATGAGCACTGGGAGCCCATGGGGAAGAGCAGGAGCAACCCAGACACCCAGGAATGTGCTGATAGATGTTTAACGACTAGCTTTCTGGGAGGGAGGAAGCCCTGGTTTGTGGCGTTGGCCAATTTCCGTGGTGTAAACATCCCCACTCAGACCTATTTCTAGCTATCAGTGTGATATCCCCGAGTGCGGAGTTGGGAAGAAATGTACAAGATCAGCTGTCGTGACCAGCACACTGCTGTAATTTTTTTTTAGGGGAGGAGGAATGGTTAGAAAATCAGCTCTTTCCACCCAGTGGCTGTCCTGCAGAACTGCCACTTCTGGTCTTGCTGTGTAACCTCAGGAGAGCCACTTCACCTCTCTGGGGCCTTTGTTTCCTCCTCCACAAAGGATAGTATGGAAGATCCTGTTCACCTCTAACATTTTAAGGTTCTAGAAGGCAGTGCCTCCTGCTTTTTCCGACATCCAAGTGCCTTTAAGCGCCTTTCTGGAAAACCAAGTTAGTGCTGTGCTGCATCCAAGAGAGCCTCCAATTTCATCTACTGAGCATAAGGCTTGGAAAGGAGTGACTTTACTCCCTTTTGCCTCTTTCGATGTGCAGCCAATGGGGCATCATACATTTTTTACACTTCTTTTTGCTAGATGTGAGATCCAGGAAGGAAAGCATGGATGTTCCAGGGCTTTCTTCTTCTCCTGGGCCGGGTGTCTGCGTGAGATGAACTCACTGATCCATCGCTGTCTGCGATTTCCACCTCCCCTACCCTTTCGGCAGCAGAGCGAGAGTGTTGATAGTATCCCACCTTTTTTTTATTTTTATTTTTATTTTTCGCTCTCCAAAAGCTATTTACAAGAGTGGGAACTGCTTACATGAAATGGAGGGGAGGGCGGGGGTTGCGTTATTTTATTTTATTTTATTTTTTGCCTAAAAGGTGGCACGTCTCTCAGCAAAGAGAAAAAGGCATGCCGCACAAGGCTTGCTGGCAGTGATAGAAGCCAGCGCCGGTTTGCCTGTTGTCACAGCCAAAGCAAAATGCCACCTCTGTCTAGAAGCCAGAGTGCCACACTCCTCTTTTGTGTCCCCAAGATGTACCCATCCTGAGGCCCCGAGCTTGTCGCTTGGGCCAGGAGGTCACTGGGGTTTTCTTGAAAGCCACCCTCCAACCCCAGGAGGCTGGGGATATCACAGGAGATGATCGATCGTGGCTCTCGAGATAGATTTTCTGAGTCCCCAGATGACATGTTGGTTACAGCCAGAGAACGAGGAGTGTGAGGCCTGGCATGAGCACGGGGAGGAAGTTGGGGCTGCAGAAACACCGGTGACCCGGCGATGCTCCTGCTCCAGGACCCCTTCTGAACAAACCCAGATGCGGTGACAGCCAACGCTCCAGTATCCCAAGGCAGGAGGTGCCAAAGACAACCCCCACACACACACACCTCCAACAAATACTACCAAAAAAAAAAAAAAAAGTTCCAGTAAAATGTTCTCATCCCTGGAGGGGAAAACCTGTCCATGCCTGAAGCAGTTTGACCCCAGCGCACACCCTCCTTCCGTGGAGTGAACTGCAAATCTCGAGAAAAAATTCCCCACCCCCCACCCCGCCTGCTCCCTGGGGAGGGACAGAAGGTTCCTGAAACTGACAGTTTCGCCTCCATGATCTTTAAAAGAGCAGAAGTTGGCTGCGAGGCTGCGGCGCTGCTGCCTCGATTGGGGTGGCGTGGTCCCCGCGGGGCTGGGCTCCAAGGAGAGCCACGTTGGCTCTGGTGAGCAAGGAGCCTCGAAAGGGAAGATCGCAAGGAGGGCTTCTCTCTGCGCGCCATGGCTGAGACTGTGCCGCTTCTTGCAAGGTGAAACTTGGCAGTTCTACCTTGCAAGTAAAAAAAAAAAAAAAAAAAAAAAAAAAAACCTAAATTAATTTTTTTTTTTTTTTAAAGAAATTAAGTCAGAAACAAGGCTTCGGAAAAACTGTGAGTGTTAGGCATAAACTGATTTTGGATGATCTTTAGGTGAGAAAGGGTGGAGTTACCAATCGGAAACATGTTTTTATTTATGCTTTTCGAGTCCCCACTGGTGTGCGGTGTGTGTGTGTGCGTGCACGTGTGTGCGTGTTAGCGGTTAGCACGGGAGCGTGCCTCATCTCGGTCCTCTAACCACTCTTTCTTTTCTGCATCTTTTCCGTGCACAGTTCCTATAGATGCCCCGTAAATAAATACAGAGGTCCATCCACACCTTTTCCATTTTATTTGTAAATTGTTTGGTATAAGCGGCGGGGCGTAACGAAACCTGGTGAAGTTTAAAAGATTAGATTTTTTTTTTCCATCTTGACACTTCATAACACTGTTCATATGTCTCTGAGTGAGATTTATGAATATATGAGCAGTACTGCAAAATTACACTGCACCAGAGACTTCCTGCACCACAGGGGTGACAGTCTAAAGTGACACAGCTTCAAGCATTTTTCACAGACAAGAAGCAAAATTTAACCCCCTTAAGGGGAAGTATGATTTCAACAGCTTGAAATGAGCTCATTTGTAGATGGTTTTTTTTTTTCTTTCTCTCTCTCATCTTCCATAATTTTTTGGTGTTAAGATTAAAACAGATTGCAGAGCCAATAGAAGGGCACATGAGCTGCCCAGAGTACGGTTTGGCCCTTAAAGAGAAAACCTCATTCATTGTCTTGATCAGGAAACTCCCCAAACCAGATCCAGGAAGGTAAATTTCCCCCTAAATTCCTGAGGTGTGCTCTCAGCCTGACTCCCAGAGCTGTAACTTAGCGGACCAGGTTTGGAGTTTTTCAAAAAGGTAAGTGGCAAGCAATGTCGATCAGTTCAGAGGGGAGAAGCCCTCATGCCTCTGGGCAGCAGAGACAATGGCATTAGGAAATAAGCAACTGAGTGAAATTAACCAATAAAAAAGAGAATCGGAAGAAGCAAAAAGATGTTCTGTATGAATTGACTGTACATGAAATGTCTGTAGTGGAAGTGTTCCATGCCAGATTCAAAGTCCAAACTGATCTCTCTTCGATTGATCTAGTACCATGTGATTTGGGGCCAATTCATGTTCTTTATCTCTGTGCTCTCAAATTCTCTTTAACCGTTTTGTTTCCTCCCGGAACAGAGTGAGGTACTCACACGTGGCCTGATCCCCTCTTTGCCCTATAAATGCTCCATGATGTGTTGGCTGGAGAACTTTTGTCTCTTTTTTCAGCAATGGTACAACAGCTCCATGAACGTGATCTGTACCTGGTTGACGGACCGGATGGACTTACAGCTTCACATTTATCAGTTGAAAACACTAATTAGGATGGTAAAGGTAAAAGAAAAAAAAAAAATGATTATCCTCCTTTGCAAATAGCTTACTGAATTACATTCCATCCGCAAGCTGCTGAGCCTCCTTGACACAAAGAATATTAGTTTACATACAAAACAGGATCACTTCTAAAAAAAACAGTATCTCATGCAAGAAAAACCTATGAAATTGCTTTGCAATGCATAATTTATTACTCAGACATCAAGGCAAAATTTAATAAAAAGGAATTTGATAGCGTTGTTAAGATAGGGAAAACACTTTACGTATCTGCCATGCAAAAATGCTAGAGTCCATCGGACCCTTTGCCTTAGACTGTCAAAAGCTGGCTTTGGGCACCATTATGCTAATCACATCAATTACCAATTTCATTTATGGTTTAATTAAATAAAATTTTGCCACAATTAATTTAATAGAAATATTTACCCCCAGCTATTTCTAAATATGTCCTGGGATCATTAACAGAATGCAAATCAATATTGTTCTCATCGTTAATTGAAGTAGTTTCTCTTATAATGCGTGTATACAATCAAATGTAAAAGATCACAAAGGTGAGACAACATGCCCTGGAAGTAGCTTTCTTCCCCCTGTTCTTGTGTGTGTGCCTTGGACTAATGATAATTATTTCAGCGTGAAATCTCAGTGGTTTACATGAAATAATAAGATCACAGAAGGGGGTAAATACGTTTTTGATCATTTCAGTTTCCATTTGATGCTTCACCATAGAGGGTTTTAAAACGTTCGTATGCAAAACCCTCAAACCACAAAGTCTCCTTTAAAATATATTAACAATGAACGGCGCTAAATTTCTATTTCGCAATAGTTTGCCAAAAGTCTCCCCCACCCCCACCCCCAGCCCCCACCCCATTTCTTAGTCTCTCTTGGATTAGCACCATTTCGCTGAAGGTGCTCTTCTATCCTAGTGCTGACTTAAAACCAATTACTGTTCCATTGTGTGTAATTAAGGAGAATTATTATCATGTGCATTTGATCTCACAAAGCATCTACCCAGCAGCGTACGGCAGCTCTTAAAAAAGAAATGTATGCACTCAGACTATGAACCCAGCCTAATTTTCTTATTTTTTACTTCAGTTCCTTAAGGCAAGCTCACTAGTCATTGCCTGACCCCTTGAATTCCATTTTCTGGGTAAAAAAAAAAAATATATATATATATGCTTTGGGGAGGAAATCTATTGTTTGAGACCTTTACTGGGTAGATAGGAAAAGAAGACATCATTTGAATATTTTAAGATTACCTTCCCATTGATGTTATTTCCAGATCTATGTTTGGGAGTTAGCAATATTTCATTAAGAAAAAAAAATGTAAGTCAGAGAGGAGGTTTAATTTTAGCCTTCTGCCAAAAAATAAACAACAACAAAAAGCAAACAAACGCAGACGTGGGCCGCAGAGAAGGGACACAGAAATGTCACTGCCAAAGGAACCCGTTCATTTTCGCCAAAAGTGGGCCCAGCTTAGCTAACGTCACAACTCAGAGCTATGAAGCAGAACCCATCACCTCTCTACCTAGCGCAAAACCCAGAGGTCTCCTTCTCCCAGGCAAATTTCCAGGGATAATTGGCTTTTTCCTTCCCACATCGGCAGCCACTCCATTTATTCATCCATTCACTCATTATTCAGCAAGCCTTTGTTCATTCATCCAGCATTGGATAAACATTAGGTGAGCCACTACTTGTGTTATACCAGCTGGAGGACTCAAGAATGCTCAAGAACTTGGCATTGAGTATTTGGCCAAAAAAAAAGGGAAAAAAAAGAATGACTGGGTATGGTTCCTGCCCTTAGGCATGGAGAGTCTAGTTGGGGTGCACCCTGCTCTGGAATTTGAACAAAGGAGAGGCTACTCCTTTAGTTTAGGAGGTTTTTTTTTGTCTTCCTTTCCCCATCACACTCTGGGAACAATCATGTTATTCTAAGTGGCAACAGAACGACTGGCTGAAAGTACAAAATTCAAGTTAGTCATCTAGATATCTGGTCCACGCTATGCCTGGCATTTACTCAGTCTGCTCCCCTTCCCTGTCTGGGAGAAGACCCCGTTCAGGTGGCACCCTAGCTTGCTTCTCATCAGCAAGCCTTGCAGCTGCAAGCATGATTTAGGATGACCTTATAATTCAGCGTCTAAACCAGGTTACTTTTAAGTTATTGAACGTCACCAAGCCAAACTGTATTCACATGTCATTACAACATGTGACCTTCAAGAGGAGATGACATTATGGTCGTTAGGACTGCTATGAGAAACAGAAATAATGATGGGAGCGGCTTTGAGGCATGCTACCCTCCCTTCTCTTGCCCCGTTAGCAAGTTTTCCATATCAATAGGAGAAACAAACAGCAGAATGAGTAGATGAAATGATATGCAGTGTGACGAAGAGAGTTGTAGTTAGACAGAGACCTTTACAAAAAAAAAAAGATTATGAAGTAGACAACAGCCAGATGCTTCTGGTCATGTTCAATTAACACGAAGGGATTTCTAGAAAAACAGTCCTTGAGATACCTAAGGAAATCCGAGAGAAACTGCCTGGAGGAACAAAGAAAGAACTTTGTGGTACGGTAATACCAAACCATTGTTCTTGAAAAAGAGCCAAGTTTCTTCCCCGAGACCATGGAAGTTGTGAAACGGAATAGATGCAGTTCTTTCCCGAGGAGATAAGAAATGAGTCAGATGCCTGAGACATAAATCGAAGAGGCATTAGCACTCCCTCTTCCCCGTGATCATTGCTGCCCGTGGTAGGTTTCGTATACCAACATACATACGTCTGTCTTGTGAGCTGAGACAGTGGGAAATCAGTGCAGCTCGTGCTCGAAAATGCTAAAGACCAGGCTGCAGCAGAAATCACAGAATGCCGTGGTCACCTGATCCGTTATGTGCATGTTTATAGCCCCTTCCACGGCCTGTTGTCGTATATTACACTAGCCCAAAGAGAAAGAACCAGACCACAAAAAGGAACCGAAACAATGATGCACTATGTCCTTTTATGGAGCTGAACAAACACGAGCTTATGTTCTCTGCTTTGTCTCACCGAACATAGTTGATCCCGTCACAACGTCTTCTTATTCTCTGTCGTTCAGCGACATGTCCGTTTTCACCGAGGGTGAGACCAGGGCGCAGTGGCTTTTCTCCTTTGACAGTGCGTAAGCCGGGACGTTAGCTAAAGGCCCATGCGCTCACGCCGCCCGCACCTGCTTTACGTCCTGCCCCTCCCCACCGTGGAGACGGGATCTCCCTTATCATTGCCTTTCTGTTTTGTTTTGTTTTGTTTTTTTTCCCCCCCTCTTTAGAAAACCTATAGAGATTTCCGGTTGCAAGGGGTCCTGGACTCCACCTTGAACAGCAAGACCTACGAAACCATCCGGAACCGCCTCACTGTGGAGGAAGCCACGGCGTCAGTGAGCGAAGGCGGGGGCCTGCAGGGCATCAGCATGAAGGACAGCGACGAGGAGGATGAAGAAGACGACTAGACCGCTGGGTCCTCCAGTCCGCTGGGGGAGGGGTGGAGTCCCCTAATCAGTGCATGTCCTTAGTCTGTTAGTTTAACCCCATTAGGGAACTTTTCTGTCAACAACCACGCCCATGAGATGTTTACCAACACAGTTGCCATTTTAGCTGCGTGGTGGTACCGAGATTAGCAAACGACCTTCAGACCCACTGATTTCCCGATTTCCGTGTCTGTGTGTTCACAAGCGATGTGGAGCACCATCCTTTAAACACCGTTCATGGAGATTACACAGTCCAGCCGCTAGGCGTGTCCCCTGCCCTCGGCCAGGACAAACGATGCTTCGCTCGTGTACCGAGTGTGCACGGATGATAAATGAACGTGAGGACGAACACGCCGAGTACTTCCACTCCTTTGTTTTGCGTGCGCGGATGCCAGTTGTTTAAACGAGTACGTAGATAATTTAATTAAAACACATAGATCTGCTTTGGTTTTTTTTTTTTTTTTTTTGGAAGACAAAAGGCAAGTCTCTAACCACCAACTTTCCATTCCTTCTGTTCCCCTACAACTAAAAAAAAAATGACCCCTTTGTGTCCTTGTCAACCCCATCCTTTCACTTATTCCTATAGTTGGCAAAAAAAAAAAAAAAAAAAGGGATGGCTACATACCAATGGATTAATTAACTTAATTGCCACGGCCAGGGGGCAAGCCTATCATGACTTAACATCAAGCACAGTTCAGAAACAACCGTCTTCTGTCAAAAGTTTATCCTATTCAATGTTACGTTTTGCTTTTATGTTTCGATGACTGTATGTAAAAAATAAATAAATAAATAAATAAATCCGAATATTTAAATTGTACAACCCCTAGACTAAAAACGTGTTTATAATAAGATATGGATATTTCCTTCAGTAGACTGTAACCATAATTTAAATTATTTTGTTCCACGCTGTTTTTTATACCCGTCATGTACATTGCATTTTGACCTGTAACTGCACGGCCAGTGGGGTTCGCTGCAGAGCTATCTCTTTCTGTGTACGTAGTGGATCCATCTTGCTTTTGCCTTATATAAAGCCTACGTATGAAAGTGTGGACACTGTGGCTTCTCAATAAATAACTATTCCAATGTCCTAAGAATACAAGCCTGAGTCTGTCTTCCTCCCTGTCGCCTTCAAGCCAGACAGAAACACAAGCAGCAGCGAGCATGGAAAGGGCGAGGAAGGGCGGTTTTCTTAGCGTGTTCTTGAAACCTTGGAAGTGGGTCGTCTTCAAACGCTCGTGGCTCCCCCCCCCCCAGAGACTGCCTACAATTCCGCTAATTCAGACTCCACTAACTCAGAATCCGTGGGCATTTGGACATGTTGGGCAGATTACGCTCGCATTATAGGATAAATAAGGGTTTGCTAAGCAAGTGAGTAGTGTAAACGAGGAATGTTTCTCCTGTAGAAGAGGAGGCCAACAAACTGTTTTTAAGCACCACTTTAACAGCAGTGTTTGCATTCAAACAAAGTGTGTGCCAATTATATATGATTCTTATATATTTGTTAAAGCATTCTACAAGATTCTGGTGCTCTTCTCGCTCTTCTGGCCCTGTCAACAATACAGTCACCCAAGTTTGAAGGAAATCTAACATTTGGTGGCCTTGGCTGGATCTGTCACTAAACCAGGCTGATCTTTCCTTGGGGCTGACTGAGGTTTTAAGGAACCGGCCACTTTGCCAATAGGTCCAGGTGACGATGGTCACCAGTAGTTCCCTGCAAAAACAACCCCTCTAGACAGGACGTCCCCGTCTGTTAAGTCTTTGAGGTGCAAATCAACAATACTTCCGGCCCTAAGTGGGTTCCCATTTATTGAGCAACTATTCTGTGCCAGGCATTCTGCATATATCTCATTTAAATCTCATTTAAATCTCATTTAAATCTCACAACTACCATAAAAGAGAGTACTGTTGTTATCCTCGTTATAGATGAGGAAATTCAGCTCAAAAAGGTTAAGCAAACTTGCCCAGTGGTTCTACAACTCTGTGCAGAAGCATTAATCCAGATATAACAGCATAAAGCTGGTAATATAAATGATGGGGATATATCCTTCAGATGTGAAAAAAAAAAAAAAATTGCCCAGGGGCAGATAGTTAAGTCACAGTGACAAAGTCAAGATTTTTAAACAATTTTTAAAATTTTTTAAATATTCTAAAAATATATTTTAAATTTTTATTATATTTTGAGTTGCAAAACTAAATCATATTTCTTGTGACAATTACAGACATTGTTTTTAAAATGTGCAAAGAGGGAGCATCTGCCCAGTGTATAGGAGTTGGGAAAAAGAGGAAAACGTTCAGAAGCCCTGGAGGAAAGCTAAGTGAATGGATTAGATCAGGCGTCCTCAAACTACGGCCCGCGGGCCACATGCGGCCCGCCTAGGCCATTTATCCAGCCCGCAGGGTGTCTTTGCCGCCGCTGCCTGTCCTGCTTAGCAGCCGACTGGTCCCGGGCCCACAGTGCGCACTCTCCAACGGTCTAAGGGACAATGCACTGGCCCCTTGTTTAAGACGTTTGAGGACCCCTGGATTAGATAGTTCACCAAATGGCGTGATTCAAAAGTCATAAAGAGAACCAAGCCAGAAAAGACTGGGCCTCTAAAACCAAACTTGAAAAAAGAAAAAAAAAATCCTTGACAAGGGGAATTCACCACCACTTAGCACTGAGGACCCTGTTAAATATCATCCCCCAATGGGACAACCCCGGGAAAAGGGCCTTGGGGAAGGAAATGAGGTCAGAAAAGGTCAGAGAGAAAATACCAACCAAGTTATCCCCGGTTAGAGCTGGCCTTGGGTTAATCTTACCACGGACTCAAAGCTGAGGAGACAGCTTTGGTATCTTGAGCTTTCTTTTTTTATTTCTTTGGAATGGTATCTTGAGCTTGCTTTTTTTTTTTTTCTGTTTAGTTTTTTTTTAATTATAATATACACACAGAAGAGTGCACAGATTCTAAGCATACAACTCAGTGATTCACTCATGAACATGAGTGAACACACTCATGGAACGACTACTCAATCCAGAACTGGAACACCCCAAAACATTTGTACCTCCGTAATATTTTGAAATTTAAAAAATTTTTAAATAAATTTTTTTAAAGAAACAGAACATACTGAAGATCCTGGACATACCCCATGTCCTTGCCCAATTTCAATCTCTACCCTCTTCCTTACTTACCAAAGGAAACCACTATCCTGATGTCTAATAGCATAGATTACCTTGCCTGTTTTCAACTTGTGTGTAATTACGATCATAGTGCATGTTCCTTCATGCCTGGATTCTTTGGCTCTACATTATATTGTTGGTGTAGCTGTGGTTCATTTCTTTTCACTGCTGCATAGTATTCCAATGTATAAATACACCGCAATTGACATATCCACGTTAAAATGCTGTTTCCCATACTGGGCTATTAGGAGCAAATTCATACTGCCATGAATTTCCTTGTATTTATCTTTTGGTGCAATTGCTGGGTCATAGGGGAAAGGCATGTTTATTTTTAGAAGACGCTGCCAGTTTTCCACGGATGGACGGCACACAGAGCTATACTGTCACCAGCAGCGAATCAAAGTCCCCGTTCTTCTACATCCTTGAAAACAGGTATGGTCACCCTCATTTTTGACATTCTGGTAAGTGGTGCGGTGGTTTGTCATTACAGTTCGCTAATTACAAAAACGGAGTTGATTGCTTTTTAGCACGTATGTGTCGGCCGTTTGGAGAGCCTCTTTAGTGAAGTGCATGTGTGTAAGTCTTTGTCCCTTTTTTTAGAAAAAAGAGGAAAATTGTAGAGCTCTTTGAAGACTGATAGGGAAGAGGCCATAGGAGAAAGTGGCAGATGGATGGAGGAGTTGTCAAGGAAAATGTTAACCTGACAAAAAAGCATTCACTGTATTACCAGTCCACAAATGGTTGAGTACGTACTGATCAGGCTCTGTGCTAGGAACACCGGGACTCTCTCCAATCCTCTCCCTCTCATCAGCCAGCAAGACCTTTCTAAAAGTCAAGTGTGATCTTGCTCCTCCTTGATGAAAAGCATCCGATTGCCCGCATTTCTCTTACGATGAAGCCAAAACTCCTTAACGTGGCATCCCAAGACATGTACGATCTTGCCCTCGTCTACCTTTCCGGCCTCTCCTGTTGACCCTACTCCTCTTACACGCAGGGTTTGTGCACGACGCTTCCTGCTCCGCACCATGCTGTTCCCCCCCCCCCAGCACCTGGGCCCCTCCTCTGAACTGCCTCATCCCACTCTTCAAATCCAGGCTAAATTGGAGTTCGCCAAGGAAGGCTTTCCAAACCCCACCCTCAGTTCAGCAATCATTTCCTTACCGTGTTTCCCCGAAAATAAGACAGGGTCTTATATTTATTTTTCCTCAAGAAGACACCCTAGGGCTTATTTTCTGGGGATGTGTTATTTTCTTTTAAGTACAGTACAACCATCTACATTGATTCAAATAGAGTGAAGTCGTCTTCTTCTGGAACATCATCATCACTCTCCAAACCCCGAATCCCATCCTGAATTTCTTTCGACTCTATGTCCTTTAGAACCACTGGCCCCGATCTCTCATGTGGAGCACTAGAGCTCTCATGGGGCAGATGAGAAGGGCTGCTCGTGTTCTTTATGGCTCTGCGATGAAATGCATGGGTTGTGCAGATGCGCTGCGCAGCCACGCCCGTCACTAGGGCTTATTTTCATAGCCACGCCCATCACTAGGGCTTATTTTCATAGCCATGCCCATCACTAGGGCTGATTTTCATAGCCACACCCAGCACTAGGGCTTATTTTCATAGCCACACCCATCACTAGGGCTGATTTTCATAGCCACGCCCATCACTAGAGCTTATTTTCATATCCACACCCATCACTAGGGCTTATTTTCGTAGCCACGCCCACCACTAGGGCTTATTTTCGGGGTAGGGCTTCTATTGCACAAATGCTTAGAAATCCCACCAGGGCTTATTTTATGGGTAGGTCTTATTTTCAGAGAAACACGGTAGTATATATCCGCATAACACTCTACTTCATTTTCACACTGTTCACGAGTGGGTCGTACACCTTGTACCAGTTTCGTATCTCTCTCTCCCACTCTATCCCCAGTGCACCGCACTCCAACGTGACTAGGGAATCAAGGCTGCAAGTGCAAGGATGGAGATGATCTGGCTGCTCTTCTCTTGGAACCTTTAGTCTAGGCCAGGCGTCCTCAAACTACAGCCCACGGGCCACATGCGGCCCGCTGAGAACATTCATCCGGCCCGCCAGGTGTCTTTGCCGCCGCTGCCTGTCCTGCTTAGCAGCCGACTCGTCCCGGGCCCACAGTGCACACTCTCCAACGGTCTGAGGGACAGTGGACTGGCCCCCTGTTTACAAAGTTTGAGGACCCCTGGTAGGCAGTATGTATCTTCCAAAGATGCCTATTGACTAAATATTAGAAGATTCAGAGGAGAGAGAAGGAAAGGAAGGCTTCCTGGAGGTCACAGGTCTTGAAGAGCACACGGAGAGGACAGGAAAGGACGTGCACAAAAGCAGGGGCTGGCCGGGGGGATGTGCCCCTTGGCCGGAACTCTACAGAGACGAGAAACTGCTCTCTTCTCCAATGGATTTCCAACGCACATAGTAATCACTCAACAAATACAGGCCAACACGTAGTGAACTCTCAGTACACGTTAATACACAGTAAACAGTCAACAAATACATGTTAATTTAAGACATTAGTGGACATGCTCAGTGTTCAGGGGAGCCTACTTCATGGAGGAAATTTATGCAAAGGGTTGGGAGAGGTTACGATGGGAAGGGTAGATGGAGGTGTCAAAGGAGGACATTTAGTTTCATTTCGTTTGGGTCTGCTGGTCTGCATAGGCAAGAGCTCACTACTATTTTTAGTTTTTTCAAAACATTTAAATTTTTTAAGTTAAAAAAATCAAATAGAACAGAATTACATGAAACAAAACGTTCAAGCCTCTTCCCCCCCCCCACCGCCACCCAACACCCATTTCCCCAAAGTAGCCATTGCTAACAGATGGGCATATAGTCTTCCAAATATGTTCAATTCATATACCAGTATATTGGAGATTTTATATATATATATACACACACACACACAAATG